ACTGAAAAATAGCTTTCTTTTTTTTTTTCCTCCTGTGAAAGCAGAGACTTGTATTAATATTTATTTATGGGTCCTCTAATGTGGCATGGAAATAATTTCAAGAAGATACACAGATGTTGGAAGAGAAAAGAGTCTCACGTACTGTGTGATTAGTGGACAGTAATAAACATGTAGGAAAACCAGATTTGCAGGCACTGCATTTAAGGCATAATTTAAAAATAACATTGTCCTTTTTCCTTAAAATTAAAAGGATTTTTAATGATGGCATGATTTTAGTTTGCTGAAAAAGGAAATATCCTGAAGTTTACAAACTTGGTAGGCTTCGATACTATATGTGATCTTCATTAAGGTCTCATTTCCATACGTCCTGCAGCGTATTTTAACATGCACTGGTTTCTTGAACCTCTGTCTTTTCCATCAATCAGAAGAAGAGGTGTTCTCTGGAAGTAATCAATGATATCTGCTACAGAAGAAAAATCCTGTGGGATGGAAAAAATGAGAAAGTTATGGCCAAAATGTCAGAATTATTAGTAATTAGTAAAACCAGAAGGTTTTTTTTTAGACTCTAACTATTTAGCAGTCTTATAAGGCCCAGTAAATACTATCACATCAGCTGTTTTCATTCCTGCCATGATCTGTAGCTCAAAACCTGTTAATCTAGTGTGTGCACAACCCCCTGCAATGTTGTATAATTAATTTATGCAGTCTTGGCCTGCATGATGTCATCGTTCTGCTAGACATGATGATCCCACTGGAAGGTTCAAAAAGTTGACTGATAAATTCAGAGAGTTCTGACCCAATCAGAACTGCAGTACGTCTGCTGACCAGTCTGTCCGTGCCAGCAAATCCAGTGCCGTACTGCTGGAGGGGAGGAAAGGCAGCCTGGGAGGGAAGCAGGAGACGTGGCAGAATGGATTTGCTCTCAGCTAGTGAGTCCCTTGGCTGGCATCCTGGCGGCCAGCAAACGTTCCCTAACCAGGCATGGGGATTTCTGACGGCTGTAGTCTAAGGCTATCCCTTTGTTCCCGGGGTGCAAACAGGAGAATCCGATTTTACTCCCAGCAGTGACGTATTCTATCAGGAATAACTCGACCCAGTCAGCAGAATTCCACTGCAGTAAAAGAGCTGCCAGGTTAAGTAGTCTGGCACCTAGCAATGAGACAGGAGAGACCTTCAGATGAAGGGAAGTCGTGTGAAAAACACATAGTACCTCTTTTCCTTTTAAGCCGGTTCCTAACAAATAAATGTGATTTTGCTCCTGGTAACGAATCTGGATGTTGTATACTTTATCTCTGTACAGCACCATCAGTACGTACGGGTGAGTAGCAGTTTTTCTGGAGCTGTCTCTTACCAAGAATGTTCCATCCTGAAAGATGAAAAAATGAAAGATGACAAATAACCATCACTTCTGGGTTTGATCAGCGTAGTGACCTTAGCTAGAGCACTCATGCTTTTAAGTGTTTTTTTCTTTCCAAAATCGCTTTCCTCCTGATAAGAAAAACTGCACTATTAAAGAGTTTAGGTCATTTCTCAAATGTTTTATCTCTCAACTTGCTACTTAACTTTCCTGATACAAATGCAGTTTTTTAGGAAAGAGAAGAATGGTGTTCTATGAGGGAGAGATTCTATTGAAGGAGTAAGTAAAATATCAAAGGTCAAACCTTGTGTCACCTTAACCAGATGTGAGGTTCATCTCTGGTAAGTGCCAGTCAAGGTTCCTATGTGACCTATTTACAGACAGCCTAAAATAATGATAGTGTGTGTCATTTTGGTAAAGGCAGTGGTATTCTCTTTCTTTCTCTCTCTGCTTTTCCTCATTTCAGATCTGTTTTAACAAGTCTTCCATTGAAAGACCCTTTCTTAGAGGCATTGAATGTGGTCTCGTGAGCCGGAGCCTGGTACAAGTCATTGACGTGCTGTACATGTCGTCTTCAACTCGTTGCATGTGCTGTGAAGCATCATGGAGGAAAAAGATTCCCCACAGTGGTGGGAAACAATTTGGTTTATCTCCACACGCACAGTTAAGCCTGGGTTTTATCCGTTTGAATCTGGACTTCATTTTGCTGGTAAATACGGCCTAGAAAAGGGTGGGATTCGTCTCATCTAATTCAAGCTACCTAAAACTGGGAATTTGCAACAAATTCCTCAGAAGAGACAGGGAACTCTTTCCAGAGAACAAGTCACTCCTGCTAAGAGAGGTGAGGTGAAACTGCTTTCTGGAGACACAGACTTTGTGCTCGTGGACTGTGGAAAACAGCCTTCATGGCTGCTTCAGACCAGGTGCGTAACTCTTACGCGGGTGAAGCCGTCCCAGGTGAATCCCCCACTCCAAGTGTCTGTACCGGGGCTATGATCTCACCAGCTCCTTTACCTTCGCTCTTCCCGTGCGACCCCCAGGACACCTGGCTAGGAGATGGTGGGAACCACGAGCGCTGTAAGGCGTACCTTGTTTATTTTTCGAAGAGCTGCTTCTGCTGCTGGCCGGCTGACATAAGCAACGTACCATTCCTCATTGAGTGAGTCCTGTGGGTTTCGTGAGAGAGGAGAAAGGAGAAAGTCGGCTGTCACTGAATGAGCTTGTGGCCTTAACAGCATACAAGTAGAGAGAAATTTGAATGTGGGGGATGTTTTGGTTTATGTGCAGAATCTCTGAAGGTAGGAGCTTCAGGGATCGCACTGGTATGTATTACTGTATGCTAAGTGGCACTAAATGATTTTTAAATTATTTGCTCGCTTTGATGAGTTGGAAAATGTCACAGGCCTAGCTATAATATGTCTGCAAGTAAGCTAAGAAAACAGGTATTTCCAAATATTTTCAGTAAAAGATAGATTTTAAGTGACACTTTATCTTTTGTCTGCCTGGGACACGAGCCGCCTTTGCCTTCCTTTCCCAGGGTTTGTTAAAAATTATTTTATTTTGCTTTTTCTTTCTTAACTATCATCTGAGACAGTAATGCAGACTTCCTGTGAACTTGCTATGTCTGGTTGCCCAGCAGTGTTATCACCAGGAGCGTTTGCTTTAACTTTGTCATATTTAAAGAAGTGTGAAACAAAAATGCACTGAAAGGGTATGAGTTCTTTACCCACCAAGGTTTCATGGAAGAAGAACCGACTAAGTCATGCTAGTTGAGGGCAATTGTGCAAAACAAGTAATGCAGCAAACAAGTATTATTCTTATTTTGCTCCACTGGGTTTTTGCTACTGTTGTTTTTCTTGGTGAAGGCAAAGTAAGGCATTAAAGTCTGACACAGAAAAGGAAACTGGAAGCACCTACTAACATCCTGACAGTGACTGCTAACGAGAAAAACAACTTTGAAGAACGTTCTCTCTCGAAGTCAGAACATTTGCTGTGTTTAGCAGTTATGGTTAGTACTTGTAAAGTTTTGCACCTCGTCTTCCTCCACGTTTGTCTGGTGACCAGTCTGCCTGATAGGAATTGGCAACGGAGGTCTCATATCAGCTGCACCTCTTGAAGGAGATCTGCTGTTGTTGCCTTCAAAGATATAAAAGCAGAGAAAAAATTGTTAAAACCAGGAAATTAATTTCATCTGTGGAGTGCGTACAGGGTGTAAAACCTTGATTTTATGATGGATGAAGGATTTGTATCACTCAGACACTGAGACATTTTGAATTGATTTGAAATCACATTTCGGCTGCTGTATGAGAGCCGGGTTCTTTACGTAACTTCGTCCTTGGTGCATGGGGACTTCAGCGGAACTCTGGCAGTTCAGGTTTCCCTAAAATCAGCTGAACTCGAAACAGAGGTTACATCTGTACCACAGGTACTCAGTTGAGAGCATCTCTGGTTTCTTTAGGGACAGAAGTAATGCTGTCTCTCGGCACGCCTTGCCTTCTTAGCACGTAGAGACTGAAAAGTGGCGCTGTAAGACACTGGCAGCTCACATGGCAGACCATATGTGAAAAATTATTTGCAGAGTAATTGATTTCTAAGCTTCCTTTACTTTTTACTTGTTATTACATGATAAACATGCAGCATAATTCACATGGAAAGTGTTTTTTCCTGTTTTCGAGAGTGTCAGTATACCGCAGTGACTTGCAGGTAGCACTGCGCAGCTCTCAGCAGTGTTCGCTGCACTGCGGTGTTGAAAAAGATGCTTATATGAAGTTTGACAATGGTTTAACCAGGCAGTAAGCCCAAACTTCAGGGGGAAAAAAGTCTTAGATTCAGACGAAGTTACACAAGATGCCTTTCAGGAACTTGATAGTTTCCTGTTCACAGTCCAGCCGGAAACATCCATAGGAAAAAAAAGTTTATATTAACTGCACTGAAACCACCTTTCAACCTTCTGTCATTTTTGAACAAAAAAATGCAGGAAGGCAGGGTACAAACCTAGATGTAAGCGTGGTGGTAGGGAGCCACTTGAAGACAGGTTTCTAGAGCTGTTAAAGAAAAAAAAAAAAGTGGTCAGTATAAACACAGCATTGCTACAGAACATTTCTGTGGACGTTGTGCCTGTTTTACAGAATGTGACGTCTTCTTGAGACCTCTGCAGGATGCCGATAGCCTTCTCTTTCTTCTTTTTGTTTCCCTTCTTTTTATGGAAGGGTGTCCACCATTAAGTTTACTTGAAGCTCAGTATCTGGGAATAAGGTAGAGGGAATCGTTGGCGGACCACCAAGACTTCTGTATCGGGATCGATGCAGAAAACTGCTTCAGCTTGTTGAGTTTTCACAGGGAATGACCGCTTTATTCCCCTAGAGCCAGAAGCACAGGCAACACCTTGCCAGATGTTTCTTTCTGTGGGGCTCCACTTACAGAGTCATTGTTCTTGTGGCTTCTATGTCGTTGCTGGTGAAAATGCAGTTTCTCATCGTTCATGTTGACACTATGGATGTGGAGCTACTGCAAGAAGTCTAGTGAAGGGCCACTAAAATGATAAGGGACTGGAGCATCTCACATATGAGGAAAAGCTGCGAGAGCTGGGACTGTTCAGCCTGGAAAAGAGAAGGCTCAGGAGGGATCTCATGAATGCATATAAATACCTGAAGGGGAAGCCAGGCGCTTTTCAGCAGCGCACAGCGACAGGACCAGAGGCAATGGGCACAAACTGAGACACAGGAGGTTCCCTCTGAACGTCAGGAGACATTTTTTTACTGTGAGGGCAACTGAGCAGTGGAGCAGGTTGCCAGGAAAGGTAGTGCAGCCTGCTTTCTTGGAGACATTCAAGAGCCATCCAGACATGGTGCTGGGCAGCCTGCCCTGGATGACCCTGCTCGAGCAGGGGGTTTGGCCTGGTGATGCGCAGAGGTCCCTGCCAGCCTCAACTGCTCTGGTTCTGTGAGCTGTGAGCTGACAGGGCGCAGAGCTCATACCCGCAGCACCGTCATGCTTCCGTGGGCCTATGCTTTCCCTGCTGTGTTCACGTTTATGCTTTTTGTTAGAAAATCTGCAGTATCCTTTTATGGCCTGATCCCAGAACCCCCATCCAAGACTTCTCAAAATGAAAAGTCCCAATCTTCGTGGTTTAAATTTTTTTAAAAATTTCTTCACCTAATCGGGAACAAACTGCCTGCACCCGTTTCCTTTACAGTTCATATTTCTGTTCTGCTTAAATGCACTGTACAAAAAGCTCGGGGGTGAATATGTTAATTATGTTTGCAGAACAAAAACACCCTGTCATGGCTTGATTCATGGAAGAGGATCAGCCAAATGAGGGCCTCTGCTATAGCAAAATTTGTCCGTGCTGCTTGAATATAAGCAGAAGTGTTCATCATAGGAATAGTTCCTATTTGCGTATGACCTTGTTGTTGCTACTGCAAGATTTGTTCTATTGGGGTGTCAGCAGTTCCAGAGGATGATGGTAAATGGAAGGAATTAATCAAAAAGCCATTAAAAAAACACAGAGATTAGAATATGTACTTCAGACATAGACTCAAGAAGCCCACTTGGCTTCATCAGAAATCAAAATTTAATTAAGGGCTCTTCCACATAGCAAAGGAAGACATAACAATCCAATATTTGGAAATTGAAACTAGAAAAAAATCATAGTTGGAGCAAGGTTCAGAATTTTAAGTAGGAATTACCAAACATTAGAGTAAAATTTAGTAAAAGGGTGGAGAAATTCTTTCAGATTCCACTCTAGACAACTAAGGTTGTGGGGCTTTTTCGTTTTGAAGCAATCAGTAGTCACAGCTCTAGCACTTAGGCTTCTAGAGTGTGAAGAATCCTCTTAAAGAAGGACCTCTTTGACCTGGATCCTACATAGTTTTGTAGAAGCTGATCCCTTCCCAAAAGGGCTCGTCATTCTGCAGGCAACGGGAGAGGTGTCTCAAGGATGGAAGCATTGTATCACGTCGGCCCTAAAATACTTCCTTGACATAAAACTCAGAGATTTAAATATTTTTCTTGATTGCCTGATGTGCACTATCTGCTTCGCTAAATACAGCGTTTAAATTAGATGAAGGATTCTCCTTGATAGTAGGAACAACACGGATCAGCATGTAGTGGAGGTGGGGGTAGAGCCTGAGAAATAACGGACTGCTTCAAGTAGTTACCTTGGGTTCACCTGGGAGCCCTGTAGCCCTGTACATACTGTTATTTGCTAAATCGCAAAGAGATTGGGATTCAAAAGAAGTGACACAGTAACGGGTGAGACAAACCTTTCTGCGGCAGGCGTGCTGTTGGATCCTGGCTTAGGTGGAGGCTTGACAGATTTGGATGGGAACGTGTTGGAGCTGTATGGGGGCAAAGACAGCTGTGGCACTGGTCTTTGGGGTGCAGCTGTGAAGAGGAAGAGAAGGAAACTTAAAACTTATGTGAGGCGTTCTTAAATGAGGTAGAATGCAGAAATGCTGTCA